ATAAGAAGCGTCTTGCTTATTTATGGTATAAGCACGTGGGCTCTGGGTTCTACACCCAGTTTGGCCTCTTAGTGTGACCTTGAGCAAATCATTCACATTTATGTGCCTTGACTTCTTCATTTCTAAGTAGGAATAATAACTACCTTGTAGAATTGTCATCAGCCTAAAATGGGTTAATATATATATAAAGTGCCTAGAACAACCCCCAGGTTCTTCCTAGCACAGTGCTTAGCACATGGTAGGCACTTTATAAAATACTTGTTGAACAGATTGTTGACTAAATGAAAGAAGGAACTTTCCCATGCTCACCAGCAGATGGCGCATGTATGCAAGAAAAATTAAAACTGGTTCCGCTCCGCTACAAATTGGCCAACAACAGATGTCGCTGCAGCTCTCTGGGTAAAGGAACCAAGGCCTGTGACAGGACGAGCCAGGGTCCCCCGTTATCCAGATAGGACCCTGGACAAGTATTGCAAATGGAGGGCCAGAAAGTCGTAACTGTACTAAAAAGCCAAAGTTGAGAAGCTAAGGCTAAATTATGTTGTACACGAAAACATATTCTATAGCTGCCTTTTCTTTCTGTTTTCTCACTTTTATCAAATAGTAACAAGGTGCTGGCCATGCAGGCATCTTATATAACCACAACCTCAGTTCAGTGAGGTGGGAGGTTATGGGAATCAAAGGGAGTGGGCATCGGAGTGCAGCAGAAGGAGCCCATGAGCCCTGTGTGATGTTTCTTCCCTGGTGCTGTGGATCTCTGCGGGGCAGGGACAGTGCTCATAAACCTTCTGTGCCCCAGGACTGGGGATCACCCAAAAGGACACTGGACCCAGCCTCTGAAGGGAACTTCTGATCTGATGTGGATAACGGGGGCCAGAAAACCAATCTATACAAATAAAGGTCTGGGGGGTACAGTGATGGGAAGGAGAGGTGAGGTTAGGACAGCAGAGGGGACTCAAGCTGTCCTGATGCTCTCTGCATAGGGAAGGCATCTCAGGCAGAGAGCACTACGTGAGCAAAATACAGGGCCTGGAATCACTGGGCTCAGTTACTAAAATCGAAGTGGTTCAGTGTAGCTGGAGAATGGTGTTCAAGTAGGTGTTTAGCATGGCTCAAAGATAAGGTCAAGGATTGGGAGTGTATTATTATTAGTGTTGGTAGACTAGTTAGTCTAGCAGTCTAGCACTTTCTCTTTTCCCCTCCAGTCTTGTCAAAAGTCACTGGAGTCCAAGGCCCACCAGCCTGGTACAGTCCTAAATTATTCTTGTCCCGATTTAATTCTTAATAGTGGTCTCTTTCACTCCCCAAAGTTTCCTGGTTTGGTTGGTCCCCTTATTTAGGAGCCCCATGTGCTTCCATTATTACGGTGACCTCATCTTTACTGAGGACAGCTCCAGGATCTGGTCCATCTCATCAGGTGCTCAGCAGAAAGTAGAGGCTCAGGAAGGAGGAGTTTTATATCCGGGGACCACAGAGCTTGGGGTTCCAGAGCAAACCACTCTCTCCTCTCAGGGAGGGATAGAGATGCCCCTTCCCCGGGGAAGGATGCCCAGCAGGGCTTCTGCCTGCAAGAGGTTCAGGCAGGTTTCCGAGGCCTGCTGGAAGCTGCTGATGGAGGCGGAAAAGTTCTCCACACCCCTTGGTTGTTGGCTTCCCCCTCCCACTGCCCCCCATCTCTAGGCCATCACAGGTGTGGGTCTGGCTGCAGGAGGCAATGACCAGAGGGGTGGAGATACAGGGTGAGGAGATGGGACAGCCCTGCCAGCTACTCAGACCCAGAGCAGGACAGGGATGGCCCCGAGGACATCCTGGGTTCTGGATCTGCTCTGATTCTGGATGGGCTCCTGCATTCCCTGGGCCTCAATTTCCCCATCTGTACTAAGTTAAATATCCGTACCATGAAGGGTTAGTTGGGGTGGTCTGCAAGGGACTAGCCAGCCCCAGGCGAATTGGCTTGAGGCAGCACTGAGGGAGGAGGGGGGTGGTGAGGGAGGGGTGGGACCGGAGGAGGAGGGGCCTCCAAAGGCTGCCAGGCGGATTACCACAGAAATATTAACTGCCCCGTCACTTCTCCCAGTCTGGCAAAGGCCAGGTCCATAAATTAGGGCCGTGAGTCTGCCAGACAGAGACTTAATGAAGAAGGAGATGGACTTCAGTGAGAGCAGGCAGTCCCTCTGGAGGTCGCAAGTCCAGCCCCAGCCTGGACAGAAGGAGCCTGGAATCAGAGGGGGGTCTGGGGTGTCCATGGATACCCTGACCTGGGCCAGGAAGTTAGGAGCAGGCCCTGCCATGTTCGCTTGCTGAATCCCCAGCACCCAGCACACAGTAGGGGCTCAACCATATTCTGACTGAGGACCAAATGCTGTGGCAAGTCATGGGAAGCTCAGCCTGAAACCAGGTCCTCTGGACTCCAGCTGGGCCCTTACCAGTTCCCACACCGGACCTGAGCAGCGTGGGGAGGAAAGGGGCTGCAGAAGTAAAAGGCTCCTCAAGGAGAGAGGGAAGCTCAGCTTTTACAGGGCCACAAACTCTGCGAAGTCTGACATGTTTCTCAAAGTGTGCAGTTTTGTGTCTGTCACATTTCCGACAGTCACGCACCTTTTCTCTCCCTCTGCTGCTCTTTAAGGGGACATCCCAGATGGAGTTCTTCCCCCCTGGCACTTGGCCCTTGCCCCCCCTGCCCACCTCAGACTTCAGCAGCATTAGGAGTAGAGGGGAGGCTGGTCATTCAGTGAGGCTTGGGTGCTGCTAAGAGCGTCTGGAGTGGCTGGAGGTATCAGCGTATCAGGGTATCAGGGCAGGGCCAGCCAGACCCCTCCATGTCACCCCTTCCTTTGTCTTCTGGGCTCCTATAGTGGCCACCGCCCTTGTCCCCCTCCCATCTGGGCTCCCACGGACATGGCTTTGTCTGCTTCCTCTCTGTCTTCAGTGCCCAGCATGAGATCTGGCACAAAAAGGATGGACAGAAGGAAGCAACAAGTCAGAGGCACTGGGCCGCTCTCCTGCTTCCCACATCCCACCTCTCCACTTCCCTGAGTTCTCCTCTAAGGGCAGAGGTCCCTCTAGAGCCTCCCAGTGAAGGACGTGGGGAGCAACAGATCCATCTCACACACATCCACCTACCTAACCCCAGCCATTGGTGGGCTTCTCCCATTCTCAGCCTATCAAGATCTTCCTGCCACCAGTGCTTTGCATAGAGCGGATACTGCTGATCCTTCTGTTCTTCAAAATCCTACTCATCTTTCAAAACTCCGCTCACATGGGACCTCCTCTACATAGAAGTCTCTCTAGGCTGGGTCAGGGGCCTTTACTCTAACCTCTGTTTCCCGGGACTTCTTTTCTCTAGATCATGATTAAATATGATTCTCCCTGGGTCATTAGCTTCTCTAGAACTGGCAAAGTTGTATTCAGTAGAGGCTGAATGGCTGGCTGGATTTGCAGAGGAGGCAAGGCTGGGGGTCCGAGGGACCTGTTGATAGTCCCATCAGGCCAAAGGCCACTGATGGGCTGCAAGAAGGGTGGCAGTCCAGAAGTGACGTTTAATGGGAATTGGTGAATGGCACTAAGGTTAAATATCAACTGGCATACACTAGGCACTCAATTAGTTGATTTTTGACAACTACTGATCTGGTACTTAGCTTAGCAGCAGCCCTCATATAAAACCCTCAAAGGTTTTTGCTGACAACGGACCCACAGCTAACAGCATATTTTATTTGCCAGGACCTACTGCAGTCTTAGGCTACATTACGAGGGCATGTCTTTGGAACTGGGGAGGTGACCTGTTAGAGACACAGGTCTCTAACCCGTGTTAGAGATACCGTTACGATTTTGTCCCAGAGAACCGGGAGAGCGCCCTCTGAAAGTCATCCACAGATGGGAACACTTCAGGGGAATTTGACCCCTTCCCACAAGGAATGACTGGGAATTTGCTGAGAACAGATAGATACTCCTGCACCACCTCCAACTCTGGGAGGAGCTGTGCCGGGTGAGGTGCACTCGTGGCCCCAAGGCATAGCTGAGGCTGTCAGGGAGTTCCAGGCCGACTCCTCTGGCAATGAAAGGGATGCTGCCAGGAGGGGAGGGAGTGAGCCCCTCATCGAGAGAGAGGGTGCCCCTTGTTGAGAGGGCCTAGGAGGCTTCCCACCTTATCTCTGAGGTCCTTTTCAGTGTCTAAATGGCCCAAATTCTAGCATTATGTGGCCCTAAGATTCCCAAATGCCAGAAGTCTAGCCTTCCACATGTGGTTCGAGGGCTCTGCGAACCTGAATGTGAAATAATCCAGTCTGGGGACCTTGAGGCAGGAGATAAGCCTCTTACCATGGCCCTGCTGTCCCAGAACCCCTGTCTCCTCAATCCACATATCTCAAAGGGTCATTTTATCCATACCCACCCCCCCTCCACTTCTAGGCTGCTGCTTCTCTCAGCCTCTCACGTACCCAAGGTGCAGTTCGTAGACCTCTCCCCAGGACAGCATAGCATGACACAGGTTATTAAGGGAGTGTCAGGTAATTCATCAGGGGGAATGATACCAAATCGGCAAATAACAATCCTTCCTTTCCTGCCTGAATTAACTGCCTCTGATTCTCTGTAGCTGGATTTCCTCCCTGATGGCCTCATCCGATGCTAATGTTTCCAGTCCAACGGCACCTCCCCCACAGCCCCCACCCCCCACCCCAGTGATGAGGAATGACAGGGTAAAAGGATGTAGAGAAGTGTAGGATTCCACCCTGGCTATGCATAGCCTCCTCTCAGAGGATAAAAGGCAGGCTAGGTTGGAGAGCGATGCAAACCCAGTGGGAAGTCCCTCCATGTGTCTCACCTCAATCCTGCTACACGCAGTCAGAGCCTATTTCTTCTCCCATATGTTAGAAGACACCAAAGCTCACTGCCTCACCTCAGGGAGGTCGAAAAATACCCTCCCAAGTGTCCCCTCCCACCTCCTTCAATGTCCAAGGTCAGCAGGAATGACATGGCACCACTTCCAAGAATAGAGTATCGAGATTATTGCAGACTTTATAGAAAACTGCCCAAGGGAGATCCAGATGTCTTGGGTGGGGGTGGGAAGGCAGGCCTCAAGCCAATATGTTTGGGGGGGGGGACTTCCTGTGTGCAGAGGCCACACAGGCCAGCCATTCTGCCTGACCTAGGGGATGGGAGTCAGGGAGAGGAAGCCCCCTCCCCACTCACCAATTGTGCTTTGGGATCATGCAGAAGGCAGGGCACTGACACTCTGACCTTAAACAGGATAACTTGTGCCTGAGACAAGAGATGAGGCCCCTCACCTCTTCTAGAAGGCATGGGGGAGGGAGGCATGGCAGCAAGGGATCCCCAAGGGAGAAGAGTCACATGGGTAGGAAAGAGCTTGTGGGCAGCAGCTCCCAGCCCTTCAGAGCCTCCTCCCCTACCCCTCTCTGAGGCCACGATGTATGGGTGACCCCGGTTCTGAGGTCCAACCAACTACTTTGAACCCCTAGGATTCTCTCCTTCTCCATGGGGATCTGCCAGTATGGTTGGGGTATGCTGGCACCTGCACCCATCTCGCAGGCCTGCAGAGCTCATCCTAGGAGGAAAGGGGGGGTGGGCACACCCCAGGAATGGATTCCTCACTGGACCCTGACAGAGTGAGTGCAAGCGATGGGTGTAGGGGGGATAGAGAGCCTAAGACTTGGGCGGGGGGATTAAATTCTGATCAGGGTGAAGAGCTGAGCATCTTGAGATTAGGGACAAGCACTGAGTATTGCGGCATCAGAGCCCCAGTGAGAAAGGCTGAGGATCGGTTCCGTACTAAGGCTATAACAGGGTATGACTGTCCCTGGGATGGGAGACAGATGGAGCTGAGCCCCAAGCCTGGGCCAAGGAAGGGAAGAGCCTGAGCCAGAGCTGAGGTGGGGGGCAGTATGAAATACATCCCCAGACCGGAGGAGGGTGCCCGACCCTCAGAGCCCTGGGATGTGGGCGTCTGCAGGATGGGAGGGCTCCGGGGTGAGAAAAAGGCTCAAAGTCCACAAAAGCCTTCAGAGCAGTGCTCTGCTTCTGAGACCAGAACGGGATGAGAGGGTCCCTGAGCCCTGGGAAGGGAGTTGAGGTCTCCAAGCTGGAGATGGGAGTCAGTGATGTCTAGCGTGACGTTTCCCACTGAGAGGTCAGGCCTCAAAGCATAGGGTGGTGGAGGCAGTCTTAGGGCTCTCGGATTGAAGGACAAAGTTTCCTGGCCAAGTATTGAAAGGGGGAGGGTGCTTTTGAGGGTTGAGGAGGAATGTGTCAGAGCCTTAGATGGGCAGGTAGGGTTTCTGGAATCAGAAGAGGGTGTCTCTTGATCTTTGATGGTGAGAGCTCTCAGAGGTTGGGGAGAGGGGGTACAGCTTGGGGCCTCCGGGTGAGGGGGGGGGAATGCCATAATCCAAAGGTCTCAGGCCGGTCAGGGGCAAGACTCGAAGCCCCCAACTCACGGGTGTCTCATACCCATGGCTTCGGGCCAGGCAATCCCAGTAAAGTCATCAGCTGGCAGGGACAGCCGTCAACCCCCAGGGGGCAACACTCAGAAGCCCGAGCCCGGGGAAGTGGCGCGGGAGCCGGCGGGGGCGGCCGGGGCGGGCGCGCGGCGCGGGTCGGCGTCCTGCTCATAACGGTAGTGGTAGCCCTCCATCTGGTCCCGGCAGGCCTCGCGCAAGTTGCGCATCCAGCGCTGGATGCCGCGGCGGTTTAGGTAGAGCACCATGAGGAAGATGAGCCCGATGAGCGCCAGCACCAGCCCGAAGAAGACGTAGGAGGCTTCCAGCTCCGGGCCGGCGAGTTCCACTTCTTCCCCGCGACCGTCGGCGTCGCCGTCGGCGCAGCCCAGCCGCGCCTTGTCCAGGTCCAGGAAAGGCCGGTCATGCAGCGCCCGCGGGGCGGCGCAGCGCAGGCGCCGCGCGTCAGGTACGCGCTCCGTGGCGTTGCGCAGCCAGGCCAGCAGGGGGCGCGCGGCACAGCCGCAGCGCAGGGGGTTGTCTGCGAGCAGCAAGCGCGGCGCTGGGAGGCCGCCATCGCGCTCCAGCGCGCGCAGCTCCTCGGGACCCAGGCCCCATAGCGCGTTGAGGCGCGCGTCCAGCTGCTCCAGGCGCGGCAGGCGCAGCGCGGCGGGCGGCAGGCGGCTCAGCGCGTTGCCCGCCAGGCCCAGGAGGCGCAGCTCGTCCAGCTGGGCGAGCGCGGCGTCCAGCGCGGCCAGTAGCGTGGGGCCGCCTCGCGCCAGCGCGTGGTTGAGCTGCAGCGAGCGCAGCGCGGGCAGCCCGCGGAAGGCGCCGCCGCCCAGGGCGCGCAGCGGGTTGTGGCTCAGGTCGAGCGCCGTCAGGCTGGGCAGCCCGTCGAAGGCGCCGTCCTCCACCACCTCGATGTTGTTGTGCGTGAGGCGCAGCGCGCTCAGGAGCGGCAGGCGCACGCCGCCTGCCGCCGCAGCCACCTCCTCCCCGTCAGCGTCCCCGCCGGCGAAGGCGGCGGCGCGCAGCACCGTCAGGTTGGCGCCCACGATGGTGAGGTTGCGCGCGTCTGGCGGCACGTCCCGCGGCGGCTGCCGGAGCTCCGCGCCCGACGCGCAGCGCAACAGCAGCTTGGGGCCGCCGAAGCAGTAGCACTGGAAGGGACAGGGTGCGGCGGGCCGGCTCAGCGCCGCCGCCACCAGCAGCAGCCCCGGCAGGAGCGGCCCCCTTTGCTCCGGCTGTCCCGCGCGCGGGGCCATTGCAGCTGCCCCCGCATCCAGCGCCCGGGCCGCCGCGCTCACCAGTGAGTTCGGAGCGCCTCGGGGGCGGGGAGGGGGGCGGGTGGGGCAAGTCCTTGACCCGGAGCGGCTGGCGGTCGCTGGCGGTCCGTCCGCTCTAAAGTCCGAGGAGCCTTCAATTTCCTGGCTGGGGCGAGAGGGGTCAGGCGGGGAGCAGAGCCCCCCGCCCCCGGTGCCCTCCTCGCCCTGCGCGCCGGCCTCCGACTTCCGCGGCCGTTCCGGGCTCGGAGCCGAGTGGGCAGGGTTTGTTCCCCCCCCCCCCCAGCCTCCCGGCCTCCTCCTCCTCCCCCAACGGAGTCTCCGCGCCCTCCTCGCCGAGAGGCGGGGTGGGAGACTTCCGAGAATCAGGGCTTTCGGCCGCTGCGCTTTCTCTTCCCCCCTCTCCGGCTCCGGGGCTGCTGAGAAGTTTGGCTCTCTCAGGCTCTGACTTGCTTCCCCCTCATCTCCCCCCCCATTTCCCCCCACCCCCGTTTCAGCTGGTTCCTTCCTCCTCCCTCTATGGCACATGTGGGGCGGGGCCGGGAGGGGGAGAGCGGGCAGGTGGGTCAGCACCACAGAGCAAGAATTGGGAGGGGAGGACCTTAGGGTTCCCCCTGCGAGTACAGGCAAGGATGAGGGGTGGGCTGAGAAAGTTATTCAGCTTTCAGCCTCTTCCTGATCCGTGTGACCAAGGAGAGGGCTGTGCTTAGAGACTGGAAAATCCCCAGCCCTGGTTCCCCCCTCAGCAACCCCAGTTACATTAGGCCTGGCCAGGTCCTGTGGGACCAGCGTTTTCTCCACCCCATCCTACCCCCACCCAGGGAAGGCAGCACCAACCCCCTCCTCCTTTCCTCCCCCCTTCTCCCCTCCAACTCACTGGCTGCTCTGCTGGGAGTTCCGTCTGATTTGCTCCACCAGGCTGGACTCCTCCCCTAAGCACTCTCCTAGGCCCTAGGACCTGGTGGGTGTGGTGATTCAGCTCTTTGCTGTCCCCTCCCTGCTCCAGCACCTGGGCACCCCGTTAGATTGTTCTACTGGGTCTCAGGCCCCTGGCGTTGTTGGACACCATCGACTGCCCCTCCTCCCCTCCAGGGTATCCCACCTGTAAATGTTGAAAGGGTGGGAGGGTTTGGAGCTCTAGAGATTTGGAGAAGGGGAGCAGATTTTGCAGCATTGAGTGGTAGTGGGGGGGGTGGTCTCAGAGGGGGCCAGGGCCTGAGCTGTTTATAGGTTTGTTTTGCTCTGGATTTTTTTTTTTTTTTTTCCCAGAACTGGGAAGCTCCAGACCTGATTTAAAGAGATACGCTCCTGAGAAGGGAGCACTCCTGGCCTTGGCATGAATTATTCAGGCTGGAGAGGCTGACACTTGATCCACAGGCCATTCTGGTCTCAGCAGAGTTGGTTGGGATAGAGGCTCCACCCTCCCCCCCCCCATAAGAATCAGTCAGTCTTTCTCCTGAATTAGGGACAGTTGTTGGGTTGACTTCTTCCCTGAGGTTATATTTAACAGATTGACCAACAGATCAATACCACTTAAGGAGAAGAGGTAGACCCTGCGGTGGCCTGGGTCCCAGGCAAAGACCAACAACCTCGCAGGCCAGATCTGTTGGTGCTGGGGTGGGAGGGCGGGGGCTCCTCTCCCCCTTCCTTCCCTCTCCCCCTTCCTCCCTCTCCCCTTCCTTCTCTCTCCCCATCCCCATCATCACTCCCGGGTATTGGCAGATGAGACCGATAACTTGCACCTGCAGGATTGGACGTATCTACACAGGTGTACATGTAGGTTATACATGCATATGTGCATGTACATGTAGAGGCACGTGTGACACATGAACAGTTCAAGGTGCATCCACATGTGAGGAAACAGACTCATGCTTCCTTGGATGTGCATCCACGTGCATAGGATGGTGTGTACAGGTCTGCACAGGGTTGTGGGCAGGCTCAGATATGCCTCACACAAGTACCTGCAGGCCATTCATATATGTGCACATGTTAACACAGATTCGAGTCCATCTGGTGTGTGTCCATACATTCATAAGCACATAAATACTTGAACATTCATATTTCTGGGACCATGTATGTCCCTGGGTACATTCTCAGAGGGGCAAGCTTACAGACGCATGCATGCAAGCACGTGCATCCAGAGATTGGACAACATACTCTGAGCCCATTCCTGACCTCCACCATGCCTTGGTCTGTACAAGTAACAGGCTGAGATACCGTTTCTCATATGGGCACAGGTGCTCAGACAGCCACTGGGGCTGTGCCTCAGCTGTTGTGCTTCCCCGAGCCCTGGCCTACAGCAGCTCCAAGCCCCAGCTCTGACATCTCCCTGGTGAGAGGTGCTGCCTCTTCTTCCTATTGTGTTTCCGGTATAGGGACTAGCACGAGAGAGTGTGCGGTAAGTGTAGATGGGTGGGTGGATGGATGGATGAATGAATGAATGAATGGAAAGGTTTCTGCTTTCCTGTCCCACTGCATAGAGCCCCTTCTGCCTCCAGCCACTGGGGAATCACAGACCAACTGCCAAGGCCAGAGCCCCATTTCCAGGGCCCCTTGGTGGCTGGTTCCTGGTGGGCTGATGGCCTCCTTGGGAAAGGGCTGCAGGGCAGCAGGCAGCCTCGACTGGGGGATACTAGATGGGATCGGGCGCATTCAGGCTGGTATGGCCATACACTGACTGGGGGGTACTAGACATCTCAGAGAAAGGAGGCCGAGAGAGAACCTAGAACCATCAGGTACCAGAGAATAAGGCAGTGACTATGTTTTCTAAGTGGGGAGTCTGAGGCCAGAGGGCCAGGGACTTGCCTCAAATCCAGTGACTGTCAGGGCTTAGTGTAGCCCCAGGCTCCTTGCCCAAGGCGTTGTCCATGGTAGTGGCCGCATCTGAGAAGGGCCAGTGCCGCAGGGAATCTCATCCTGACCCGAGGAAGCTGAAGCCAGCAACAGATGCCAGGGTGGATGTGGTGTGACCTTGAACCACTCTCCACCTCTGGGCTGTCTGTCAACTTCTACTTCTGGAAAGTAGATGGGCTCCTGAAGTCCTATCCTTCCGAGGCTTCTCAGGGCTGTTGTGACAAAGTGAATGGAAAGTGCTTTGAAACAAGAAAAGCCATATCACCTAGGGTCTGGGGACCTTCACCATGTGACTGGATGAGGCATTGCCCTTTTCTGGGACTAATTAGCTCCCATGTCATTTTGCCCTGTTCCATCTTCCTCCCTCCCCCAGCGTAGCAAGTTCATGGTAGGTGGTACGAGGAATGAGTCTACTTGCTGTCCCTGTGAATGCCTCCACCCAGCCTCCTCCCTCCCCTCCCCTCTTTATGCCCCTGTTCCCCTTCTCTGTTCAGGTTCCCCTGGAACAAAGTCTATCAGCCATTTAGGGGTCTCTGTTCTCTGGAGGAACTTCCCTCTCCATCTTGTCAGTATTCCGTATGCAGTAGGTGTTCAATAAATGTATGTCCAGTTGTGTCTGGGGCTGTGTTCATTCTCTGATGCATCCTGTGGAAGTGTCTTTGCTCAGATTGTTTGCCTCACTTGGGGTGCTCTCTCCCCTTGACTGTTTCTTCGGCCCAGCCCACTGATCCTCAGGGCTCAGCTTGAGTTCTGTCCCTTCCAGGAAGCCTTCATGGCTCCTTCTCTCTCCTTTGAATTTCACTTAGCAACCAGAGGGCTAGAGCTCCTCTGAGCCCCCTAACTGTCAGCACCTGGGGCTCAGGACTGGTCTGGTCTCCTGTGTTGTCAGCTCAGAGCTCAGTGTGGAGAAGGCACCAGGGAACATTTATTGGATGAAATAATGATTTAAAAGTCTCTGGCTTGCTCCTCTTATCTCTCTGAGGCAGGCTAGGTGAGGAGCCCCCACATCTGTACTTTATGCCAGGAGACAGCCTCCCAGAAAGGTGAAGTGCTTTCCTCAAGGTTGCACAGCTGACTGAGACCCAGTCCTGACAGTAGCTCAGGTTTCCTGCTCATCTTTTATGCTGCAGCCCTCCCCATTCTAGGCTCTCTCTCTGGAGAGTGTGACTGGGTCAGGTCCCAGGGGACCCTGTGGGCAAAGAGCTCAGGCCCTCAGGGTTGCCTTAGGACTCAGTAAGCGAGTCACCCCAGCCCACTGAAGCAGAATGATTGTCCTTTGCTGGGTTGAGAATCCCCCCTATGTCAATTACACTTGACCCCATTTTTTTTTTTTTTTTTTTTTTTTAGAGAGCACACACTTACAAGTGGTGGGGGTGCAGAGAGAGAGAGGGAGAGAGAATCCTAAGCAGGCTCCATGCTCAGTGTGGATGCAGGGCTCTATCTCACTTAACTGACTGAACCACCCATGCGCCCCTGAACCCCAATTCTTGAATTTATTACTCCCCCTAGGTTCCAGAGCCCCTCTCTGAGCCTTCCAAAGTACTGTCCCTCCACTAACTCCAGCTCCTTCACTGGGCTCCTTTTCTCTCCACAAAGGCCCTGCTCTCTGTAAGGTCCACTGAGCCTTGGTAGGGAGCCTGCAGAGGTTTGGCAACTTCCCTGAGGTCATCCACCAGAGAGCCCTTTCCCTATCTGTCTCCAGCTCCATCTTGTTCATCAGAGGTGCCTCAGTGTTCCTAAAGTCCTTAGGCAAGCCTGCTTTTCCAGATATGTTTCCTGTCTGCAAAGAAGGTGTGTGTGTAGACAGAATGATCTTGGAGGGCTTTTAGTCTTGTGCCCCTTGGCCTTTTAAGGGTGGGGATCAGGGAGGGGAAGGTAATACTGTGATTTGCCCAAATTGGTGCCCCCACCTCAATGTATGACCTTGAACTTGGCCCCATCCTGACTATAAAGTGGTGGTAGCATAGTCTGGTGGGGGAGGAGGGTCCTCTTAAGTCTGTAGCAGCCTATGATATCCAGGGTCCCTGTATCTTGGCAGACTCCCTTTCCCTCTGCCCCCCTTCCTCTGAGGCAAGTGGAGGAACAGCTGGACAGGGCTGACATGATGAAGCTCAGTCATTAGGTAGTGG